CTGCTGCTCGTCCTCTGCTCCTCCTCAAGGCTGAAACCTGCCATCTTGCCTGTGTCCCAGATCCCGGAGACAGGTGCTCTCACGGGAGCCTGTCCTGGGATGCAGGGGACCTGTCTGCGGGAGGGAGTGCACACTGGCAATCCCCGGGGAGAGGTGTGGCTTATGGGCAGTGTGCAGTGACTCCAGAGCTGTCACCTTTGGTGTCCGGATGGGTCAGGCCGATTGTTTCCTGTTCTGCATGGGCCAGAGGAGGTCAGGGAGGGCGGCGGCAGCTAAGCCAGCTTTCGGGGCCAGGGTGCATTTGATTTGGGACCAGAAACCTCAGACTGGGAGACCAGACTCCTTCTGCACGTCTGTTTTCTGTACTTCCTGCCTTTTGCTTTCCTTTACCATTCAGTCTCTCTTTGTCGCCGTTGGTCCGTCCCACTGGGAACAGTCGTGGAGGGTTTGGCCTTTGAGCTTAGACTAGAAACACGGTGGGCTTGGATATGCTTTGAGCAACAGAATTGGCCCGAGGGAGCACCTAGGGGCCAGGACAGGGTAAGGGGCCGGTGTGATTTGCCGGATGTTATGCAGGAAGCCGGGGCACGGGGTGGTCACACTCAGGTCTTCAGACTCTCAGTCCAGGGCTCACTCCCTTGCCCCTCAGTTCCTTCGTAGGTGCCACGGTGCGGAACACTCCCTCCTGTGTCTGAACCGTGCCGGAGGAGGCTAAGCGCGGTCTGCTCTGGTGCCGGGGCGCAGGAGGGGAGCATGGGGCAAGGACGCAGAGGGAGGGCAGGGGAGGTAGGGGAAGGCGGGCAGTTTGGAAGGGTGTGCACGTGTGTGTCTAGGCCGCGGGCCTGGCCATGTCTGGAGGGGCTGCACAGGCTGGGCTGAGGATAAGGAGGCTTCGCCACGGGGAATTTTACTGCAAGGAAGCAAGAGGGAGGTGGGACCTTGGCTTCTTGGGAGCTCTGGGGACAAAGCAGGCATCCTCCCTCTACGCAGAGACCCAGTGCACCTGCCAGCCGGTGACCAAGGGAGGGAGGCCTGCCAGACGAGACGCGACGGCGATGGCGGCTGCGGGAGAACGTGACACCGGCTGGGCAGAGACGACCTTGAGAGAGAGGAGAGGCAAAATGGAGCTGGTGTCTCTGTGGGGAGAGGGGAGGGGCAGGCGAGGAGGACGGAGAAAGCTGGGAGGGAGATCTAGCCGGGCGGGGGGCGGGGCCCAGCTGTGGCCACCTCGATGCGCCTGTCTGCTTCCCTCCTGGCTGGAAGCGAAGAGAAGGAGGCAGACGGGGGCATGAGGAGGTGGGGTGGACATGGGGGCTGTGTGTCCTTGAGGCCCCAGGTTTTCCTGCGCAGAGATCCTTCATTACCTCTCGTGCCTCCCAAGGACCTGCCGGCCAGGCCCTGGGCGACGCCCTTCCCAGAGCTGGCTTCCCAGAGCTCTGTGGCGGCCCCCACCTCTGCCCCGGAGCTGGAGCTGGGTTTCCGTTTCTCCCCAGAAGCGCTGCTTTCGCTGAGACCCCGCCCCGCCCGCTCTTGTTTTCATATGTTCCGTGCTGTTTAGGTGAAGTCATCTTTCTCCTGGACAGAGCACTTGGCCTCCTGGCTGTTCCCAGGGAGGAGACAAAAGGGGAAAGGAAGCGGGAAGGGAGCGGGGCGAGGTCGGGATGGGGAGATGCCCTGGCTCCTACAAGGGTCTGAGCTGGGCTCCGACACCCTCTGTTGCCCACCGCCTCCTCTGGCCCTGGGCCTTGCGGGGTGACCTTCGGGGAAACTGAGGACCATGGAGTTGAGGATGGGGCAGGTATGGGGGTGGTCATTGCAAACTTGTCCTTTCCCTTACAGGGACAAGGGGCCCTGGCCTCTGCCCCTCCACCTCCTCCCGCTGACACTCAGAACAGGTTAGAGCAGAGCCCTGCTAAGGCCTGGGTGCCCCGGAGGAGGGAGGTGCTCCTCTCCCTACAGGGCTGGCGAGACAGCCACCAGGGAGCCTCCTGAGAGCGGGCGCCCCTGCCAAGGTCAAGCACAGGTGCTGACAGGCCACCAAGGACCTGGCTGAGCGAGTTAGGACAGGTGGGCTCTTGGAGGAGGTGGCTTTTAAGCAAACCTAGACTGCAGGCTGGCCTGCCTGGCCGGACCCTGCAGCCCTTCTCCTGCATCCTGTTCCTGTCCCCGTCTGCCCTCTGTGCCACTCTCGCCGTCTCACCATTCTTCAGGCCAGGAGGGTCTCACTCTGGATGAAGAGGGGCTCTCTGCGGTCCCTGCCCGTCACTCTACCCTAGCTGGGCCTTCTTTGCGTCAAGATCGGGGTGGAACAGCTGCTGGAACTCAGTTGGCACATGGGCTCTCTCTTTCTCTCTCTCCCTGCTCCCCCTCCCTGGGGCAGAGGGTCAGATGCTCTGTGTAGAATTTCTGCAGGGAGACAGCCAACAAGGACATCCTTTCTGTTCCTCGGGCTTCCCTAGCTAAAAATGAGGGCTTAGTCAGGACACAGCTGCAGAGGCAGCGGCCCTGGGGGATCCCACCCAGTGTGGCTGTCATGCCCGAGGGGGAGACGCTGTCTGCAGCCGGCTCCTTCCACTGAAGCTTGAACCTGGTGCACACGTGGGAGAGTAGGGGGCGGGGCAGGGCTTTGGCCTCAGGTGAGACGGACCTGGGTTTGAATCCTGGCTCTGCCACTAGTGTTGCAGTTGGAATTTGGGCCACTTCCCTTGTAGAAGCCGGCTTCCTCGCCTGCACAGCGGAGACGGACATCCCTGCTTGTTGGGATGAAACGAGTTGATGAAGCTTCTATAAAAGCTTCTATTAGCTTCTATTACCAAGCCTATGGTACCTGGCAAACTCCAGGAGTCCAGGAGTGGGAGCTCCCTTGTCCCACGACAGAGTGGGCGACTTCTGTGCTCAGCGCCGGTTGGCCGTGGGCATCTGGGTGTGATGTGGCCCCCAGAGTCCAGCAGCCCCAGCTCTGGAAAATCTTTTATGTTTTTTGTTTGTTTGTTTTTTATTGGATTCCTTTAATCCAGGGTTTCTTGAAGTCGGGGGACTTAAGGCCTTCGGCTGTTGTGTGCTTAAGGCTTGTCATAAGCCCATACAGCAGGATGTGCATGTGGGTACGGGACACGGAAGGGGACGGGGGTGGCGGATACAACGGGGTTGGGGGGAGAGAGAGACTCTGTTGTAACAAACTCCCTGGGAGACGGGAATAGGCCAAAGGAGGCGCCAGTGAGGACTCTCTGCTCTGAAAGGCAAGGAGCTATGGGCTCACTGCTTTCCTCGTCCTCTCCTGGGGGCAGGTGTGCGGGGACTCTGAGATCACCAGGAGGGACGGCGGACACTGCAGCAGTGGCGGGAGGGCACCTCTTGGAACCGTCAAGACTGCCCACTGCCCGTGCGTAGCCTGCGTGATGAGTCTCGGTCCAGGCCCCGGGCAGCCATGTGAGCTCGAGTCAGTGGCTGATCTCTAGTTCTCGAGTTTCTCATCCGAAGAATGCGGATAATAATTCCTAACTGTCTGCGTGCAGGACTGCCAGAGGATCCTGAGTGCTCGGGGAGGTGCTAGACAGAGGTAGGGGGAGGCAGATAAGTGGGTGCCCTTCCGTGTGGACCACAAGGAACACCTGCCCCTCCAGACTCCGGGACCACCCACCTGGAACCTTGAGTGGTTGCCTTGGCAACCCACTGCCTGGCTAACTCCCACTCCTTCTTTGGGTTTGAGCTTACACTTCAGTTCTGCAAGGTCTTCTGGACCCTTAGACTTGGCCCGCCTCTTGCAAGCTCTCACGGCGTTCTGCACCTTCGTTTTGTAGCATGTTGCGTGAGTTGAACAGTGTGGCTATTTGTGTGATCACGTGTTTAACACATGTCTCCCACACTAGACTCCAAGCTGCATGAGGAGAAGGAATATGATCCTGTTGCACGTCGTCCCATCACCAGCACAGAGCAGGTAGGTGGTGAACTGCCTGCCTTGCCCCCTCTCCTGCTTGAGTCAGCCCCTGACGCCACGCACCCATCCACTGCCTCCCCGTTGCCCAGCATCTCTTTGTGAGAGGCAGAGAAGGATGGCATCTTCCCTTCCTTACAATGCAAGGAACAAGTCATCAGCTACGTAATAGTTGCCCTTCTTCCCATCTTCCCAGCCCGGCAGCCCTGCCCGGAATCCAGAAACCTGCAGGTGAGTAATAGCGTATTTATTTACTAAATATTTAGCTTTGCACAAGGCTGCCCTCTTGTGGTTGAACATGCAGGAGCAACTGGGAAGGATGGAAACCCCAGTGGCCAGGATCTAGCTGGCTGAGCCTGGCTGAGCCCGGGGAATAGGCAAGTTGGGGTTAGAGTTAGGGGAAGCACCTCCAGAAGATTCATGTCAGTTCTCCATGCCTATGCGTGGCTCCCTCCCAATCTAACAGGAGGCCCTTGCCCAGGAAGAGCAAGAAATGAAGGGAGGGATGCCCCCTAGAAATCCTGCCTCACTCCCAGCAGGGCGCAGTGGGGTAGGGGGAGCTGGTTTAAACAGCTCTTCTTTCTCCTCAGTGGTGTGCTGGTGAACGTTTAACAATCAGCTCTCCAAACAAATCCTGATTTATTGCATTTATGGACTTCTGACCCCCACGGTGGACAATTTTAAACTGCCAGTGTGATATCACTGAGTGAGGAGTTGGGGACACACCCAGCAGCACTCCACTGCATGGAATTCCCACCATACAACGCCATGGACACAGATAACTCCAGGAGCACGGTCAATGGTCAAATACAGTGAAATAGCTGGGAAGTGATGCGTTTTGAGTATTTATTGCATTTGTTTGCAACATAACGTATTTAATCACAAGTTTATATAATTTACTTTTTCATAATGGCTGTGTTTAACAACTGACTTGCAAAATTCCGAGAAATTAAATAATTGGCTTCTGCAAGTCTAGTGGTCAGGGCTGGCTCAGCATATCACTGCTTCCCTCCTCTTGCCCCTCCCCGGTGCTTTCTCTCTCCGCCTCCACTCCTCCCCCCTTCTTTCCTCTGTCCTCCTTCTTTTCTCCTCCTCCTCTTCCTCTTTCGTGGCCTTCCTGACATTCTGTGTGGGTAGGAGGGGCGCAGAATATGGAAAGGCCCTTTTGTTGCAGACGCTGCTATTCTCTGAGCCAGAGCCATAGGTGTTAAGGAAAAGAGGATGGAGAAATGCAAATTCCGCTATGGAGGGACATTTCAGGATGAATTTGTGTGTGTGTTGGGGTGGGTGTGCGATTTTTGTAACTGGATCACAAGGCTGATTAATGCCTGCACTAAAGAGCACTCAGAGCCCTCAGTGGTCCTTGGAGGGCTCTGGCCGGGGAGGAGGGCGGAGTCAGAGCTAGGCGAAGCGGCCTATGGGCAGCCGGGGCAGGCAGAAGTAGGCGCTGGGGAAGAGGCTGAGGTTGATGGGGTTGCCATCCAGGCGGATGTCTTCCAGCTGCCTGCGAGTGTGTTTGTGCTCCTCAGGGTCGCAGAAGCTGTCTCTCTGCATGGTCTCTATCCTGTTATTCTGGAAAGAACACAGGCTGGCTGAGACTCGCCTGGAGGACCTGCCTGTAGACAGCACCGAAGGCTCTCCCTTGTGCAACTGCAGAAACTGAGGCCCACAGGGCCAAGGCCACACGCGCAACAAGGGGTGAGAAGGGGAGGCCCATGGGAGGTGGGTGGAGAGAGACGGCAGAGATGAGGAGGAATGAAGGGAAGAGGAGGAGAGAGGAAGGAGGCAAGGACTGAAGGGAAGGAGGAAGAAGAGAGACAGAAGGTAGGAAAAAGGAAGAAGGAAAAGCAATCGGGCAAGGCGAAATAAAGACATGGAGGGAGAAGAAGTGTTTGAAAAAGAAGAAATGGAGAAAATCAAACTGGAGCCATGGACAGTTACCTAGGCGAGACCTACCAGTCCTGTCTCCAATAAACCCTCCAGCAAAGGAGCCCCCGGGGCTGTCTGTGCTTTGCGCTGCTGCTGCCATGCCCTGCCCTGCTACTGCCCTGCTGCTGCCCTGCTGCTGCCCTGCTGCTGCCCTGCTGCTGCCCTGCTACTGCCCTGCTACTGCCCTGCTGCTGCCCTGCTGCTGCCCTGCTGCTGCCCTGCTACTGCCCTGCTGCTGCCCTGCTACTGCCCTGCTATCTAACTTCCTCCTCTGGCTCTGGGTGACGCTCTCACCTGCAGGTGCAGCGAGCGCAGGCTCAGGGGGAAAGGGCCGGGGACGGACTCCAGCAGGTTGTCGGCCAGGAAGAGGAACTGCAGCTTCTTCATCGCCTGTGGGGAGCACAAGGAGGGTGGGAGGCTGGGGGCTCTCGGTGGGCCCTGCCTGGTGAGGCCAGAGTCAGGAGTCCCCATTCATTCACTCAGGGTTTGTTTAGCCTCAGCCGGGCACCAGGCTGGTGCCGGGAGCTGCAGGCCGTGCGTGGGTCTCTAAGGAGTTACAGACACCAGCTCCAGCTGGATGCACAAGCAGCTGGAGTGGAAAGGAGCTAGGCAGCTGCTAATGGCGGCTGGGAGGAGGTGCGGGTGGGGCAGGGACAGGGACAGAGGGAGGACGGGGGCACATTTCAGTTCAGCCTCAAGTTCTCTGCTGTCGGGAGGGACTTGCCCCAAGGAAAAGCTAAACCTGGAGCAGAGGTGGAGAGTCCGCTTAGGAGATACCAAGCCTGGCAGAAGGAGAAGCATAAGGCACACAGAGGCAAAGCGAGTGTGTGACTCTAGGGCTCTCAGAGTCAGGTGGCTTAATCAGAGGGGGCTTGGGAAGAGATAAACCTTCGGGGGGGGGCTCCGAGGGCAGTGAGGAATGGTAGCTACCGCTGCTGGAGCAGCTGCTAGGTATATTTAATCCTCCTGTGCTCTTTATAAATGCTGTCTCATATAATCTTCCAGCAACAGTGTCAACTAGGTATTATTACCTTCATCTTGCAGATGAGAAAACAAGATCAGAGAGGTTAGGCAACTCTCCCACAAACCCAGGTCTCTCTGGCTCCAAAGCCCATGCCTCATCCTGGGCTGAGAAACAGCCCCAAGTCAAGGCAAAGAAGCACCTCCACCTATAGAGACAGCTGAGATGTTTCTTAGGCCGGAGCAGCGAGCGACTTCAGCGATCCTGCAATCCCAGTTCTTCACTTAGGGATGGAAACACTGAGGCCCAGGGTCCAGCGGCAGGTTTCTGACTCCCAGTCCAGTGCTCTTCCCACCACAGCAGTGGTATCGACACTGTGTTCATTATAGACCCCCCTCGGGGGCCACTGCAGACAGGAGAAGACTGAGAGGGTGGAAGGTATTTGGTGGGGAGAGCAAGCAGGCATGCATGCCTCTGTTTGTCCTCACCCTTTTCAAAAAGGCAGCTCTAACTTGATTTGTTTGATGTTTCTAAATATGAATTAGTTTGTGGAAATGATTCTACTACTTGAGAGAGCGAGAGAGCACTTGACGGTCCAAATGAAGGAGCTGAGACTGACAGAGGGAGCAATTGGTCTTTGAGAGCCACTCATCATTCGGGCAGCATGCTTGTTCACGCTCCACCTCTTCCCTGGAACTGGCCCGGGGCTCTGCCAGCCCTGCTGGGCGGGCAGCCCCAGGGGGCCACATTTGTGTCATATACCTGAGCCTTTGCCATCAGAACCGGCCAACCGATGATCAATCAGATTGCATCTCTTGAGAATTTGATCGTAGAAAGACAATGATTTATCACTGAATGGTAGGTTTGGGAAATAAAAGGATATGGGCAGTTAGGGCTGGAGTCAGCTCCATTGCAAGCCAGAGTCACGAGTAAGCCAGAGTCTGCAGGGAGCAGCACCTACGAGCACGCAGAGGACACTGCTGTGCAGGGAGGTGAGCGGAGCAGGTGCACAGAAAGAAGCCGAGACAAGAGACCCTGTGCCCCAAAGAGGGAGAGAAAGCGATGTTGACTTTGGTTTCTGATCCCCCATTCCTAGTACAGGTTGAACATCCCAAATCCAAAAGTCTGGGATCCTAAATGCTCTAAAACCTGAAACTTTTTGAGCACCAATATGATGCTCAAAGGAAATGCTCATCGGTAAGAGGCCCCCGAGGCCGGATAGCACTGCGCTTCCTGTTCTCGTGGGTTCTCGGGATGACGTGCTGTGAGACACCCTTTTCTTGGGTCAGTATCAGATTCTTGCAACCAAAAGACTCTTAATAAACAACAAATGCAAACGGATGAAAAATGGGGTTTGGTTTTTATACCCCACGACAAGGCTGGAGCAGGGACACCCCGTGCGGGCACAGAGTGTGGGCGGAGGGGGGCGCGGTGGTGGGAGATGATGGACGCAGGGTCCCGACTCACCCCGAAGGCTCCAGGCCGGATCCCTGAGCTCCGCAGCCGATTCAGGCGGACGTCTAGGAGCTCGATGCCACCGGGCAGCACCGGCAGAGCCGCCAGCTGGTTCCCTGGGAGGATCAGGTGCCGAAGGGCAGGCAGCGTGCGGAAGGCATCGTTGTGGATGGAGGAGATGGAGTTGCCAGAGAGGTCAATCCTCTTCAGTTTTGCTGAGGGACGTCCGGGTAGAACAAAGAGAGATGCCGGAACACGCCATCTTTCCTTGCCCCCTGTAGGATCTGCCTCCATACCCTGCTCCTTCCCTCTCAAGACCAGGGAATTCTAACTGGTTCCCCACCTGCACCAGGTCCAAGCCAGAAGAAATAACATTATAAATCAGGGCTCCTTGGAAAAGCCCTCGGGTTCCTCGGTGCCTTTCCCTGGAGTTCTGTCCGGTGGTGGCCCACCTTGGGTTGGTTGGAAGAAGCCTCCTAAGAGCGAGAACCAACAGGCCCAGGAATCCCTGGATCCGCTCCACCCCCACTCATTAGTTTACACAAAGGGCACCGAGGCCGGACAGGCTGTGGGTAATTAGCGGTGGAATCTGGGTTAGAGCCAGTCTCCTGTCTCGGGCAGGGCAGAAGGCACGAAGAAGCAAAACCCACAGCCGTGTAAACAGCGTCGCTGCCACGGAGAGAGGACTCGGGGTGGTCTTGTCCAGAGGCCAGCGGGTCTCAGAGCTGTAGTTGCTGGGACATTCTGAAAATGTTGGCTTGATGATACCTCCCCTTGCCAGCTTCCCAGATCTTTTGCGAGAACAAATAAGAGCAGGCCGTTTTCACCCTCTAAACTCTTCCAGGAAAGGAGTTAGAGAGGCTTGGGGCGATGTCCCTTTGACAGCTAGAGAGACTGACAGCCAACAGGGAAAGGCTAACACAGGTGGGGGTGGACACAGCGTCTGGTGACCGTTCACCTGGCTGGGCGGCAAGGGAAAGGACCCCGTGGGTCCCCTCTTCCTGGCCCCCTCTCCTCTTTCTCAGGGCCTTACGTACTCAGCCCTTCGAAGTCTCCAGCCCTGATTCGGCGGATACGGTTGTAGCGGGCATACAGGTAGACAGTCGTCCAGGGAAGAGGCGGAATGTCCTCTAGGTCAATGTCATCGCAGTACACGGAGGAACCAAGGCACACGCAGACCAGACAGGTGGGCAGACCTGGCCCAGGTGGGAGACAGAACAAAGGGAGAGAGATCCCTTCAGCCTCTGGGGCCAATGGTCCTTGCCGAAAGGAGTGTCTGAGTCATGGCCTTCAGTGTTCTCTGTCTTTGTTTTTTTTATATATATATATATATAACATTATAAATTTATTTATTTGAACTTTTAAAAATTTTTCTGCATATTATGGGGGTACAAATGTTTAGGTTACGTATGTTGCCCTTCCGCCCCCAATTAGAGCTTCGAGCGTGTCCATCCCCCAGACGGTGCGCATCGCACTCATTATGTGTGTATACACCCATCCCCTCCTCCCCCTCCCACCTGCCCGACACCGATAGATGTTACTCCTATGTGTGCACTTAGGCGTCATCAGTGTTCTCTTGCTGGCCTAGCGTGGCTGCTGGAACCAGCAGGCACCCCGTACCCACACAGCGCTGCGAGGGGTTCCCAGCCTCCACTCCACCCTCAGTTACTACCAGTCCGAGCCTGTTTGTGCTTTCATCACACCCTGGTCCTGTGCACATGTTTCTGGGCCTCTGTGGGTGTTTCTAGGACATTCACTGGTTTCTTTCCTGTAGGTCTCCTCACTGGTTTCAAAAAGTACAGTGAAGATGCAATAGAGCCAGGATTAAGTGGAATGGCCGGTGGTTGCGGGCTCTGCCGCCTGCCTTGGGAGAGAGACTAGCTACGTTCTGCGTGGCTCCAAGGAGCATAATGGAACCAAGGGGGAGCGGACGATGCCTGCCCAGCACCCATTTCCCCTTCTTATGGTGTCAGCATTCCGATTTTCCGTTGGGAAACAGCCCTCCTCTCTTCTCAGGCCATGACCCCGTCCTTCTCTGTATCCGGCGGTCATGAGACTTAGGCCAGGTGCTCCCACAGACCGGGAAGACTTTATTGGCCCCTACAACTAACAGTGCAGGCGGTCTCTGCCATTGGCTATCACAAGGCACAGAGATTACTGAGAGGCCAGTATTAGCCCGGCTCAGGGGGGAACCCTGGCAGCTGTGACACAGCCCCAAGATGAAGAGGCAGCTCTTCTCCGCCAGTGGTGACCAGCAGGAGTAGGTGAAGTGGGCAGGGTGGGGGTGGGCAGTGCCCTTCTTATCTCAAGGCCTTGAATGGTGGTTTAGCTGAGGCTTGTTATGGTCTCTTCGAGCCTGAGACCGTAGCTCCAAGAGGCCATGGATCCCTGACCGAATGGTTTCTCTGTGATGCCTCAACAGCCGAGGTCCTCCCAAGGCAAACATCCCAAGAGGAGGACAGGGAGGCTGAGGGCAAGCAAATACCGGATCAACTTCACCCCTCCACTGCCCCAGTTGCTCATCCCCAGCGGAGCGCCAAGCCCCGACTGCCAGGGTGCCAGCTCCCAGGCTCCAGGAAAATTGGGGAAGGAAAGAGAGCTGCTAAGGACGGAATTTGAAGCTGAAAGCAGTGTGACAGCTTCATTTGCTCCCATGCCAAGTGACAGCCACAAAGTTATTTATTCTTCTCTACAGGCTTTTAATTGTCTCTAATCTAATTACCACTCAACCTGCTCCCCCAGTGATGCTATTAATTAAGGTAGGGTGGCTTTGCTAGGGCATAAGGGAGTTCTTGCATTTCTTTACTTCCTACTCAATTTGTGCATTCAGGCAAAAGTATTAGGGACAGCCAGCCTCTGCCTTTGATTATTTTTTTCCCCTGTTCATACTGTGGCTGTTTCCCCTCCTTTCCTGCTGGTAAGGGTGGCCCTGGCCACATTCTGCTCTGGCACCCCCTGGTGTGGGTCACAGCTGCTTGGCCTGTGACCTGTGGAAACTGTGACCATGTGACTGCACTTACGGTGGGTGGGTAGGCCCAGTGTCGTAGGCCTGGTCATCGTGCCAGGGTTTGCTGAGGATGTCCTTGCAGGTATAGCGCTCTTGGAGGGACTGACCCAGGCTGGAGGAGCCAGGCTGGTCACCTTCACCTGGAGGACATAGCACATAGTTCACAGTAGGCCAGCTTTTGCCTGGAGGGACTTAACTTTAGACTCTGGGAACCAATTTCAAATTGGTTCAATTCACCAATTTCAAACTTGCAAAGAATCACTGTGGAGGAGGGGGGGGGGGGGGGGACAACGGAGAGAGTGAGCAGGGACCTCAGAGAGCATCAAGCCCAGCATCTTGTTATATGGAGGAAGAACCCGAGGCCCAGACGGGGAAGGAAGAGGGTCAAGGAGCCAGTGGGTGGCCAGGCCAGAGCTGGAACCCAGGTGCCCAATTTCCCTTGCTCCAGGCTGACCAAGCTCATGCGGCCCACAAGCAAATGAGCGGGGGCTTCGGGCTGTCACCCCCTGCTGTCCTGGTCCGGCCGAGGAGGGGCTGGGGTAAGACCTCAGACTGGAGGACAGTCTTGGAACAGAGAAGGGGGTGGCATCTCCTTTTCTAGGGAGAATAAGAGGACATCACTGATCCCCACCCCAGTGATCCATGGCTTAGGGTCCTGCTTGGTGGCTGGGAGAGGGGTCCCACCAAGTTTGCCACAAATGGACAAAGAAATTGCATGTTTGTATCCTCTTTCTTAGTGTCATCTAAGTGACAAGTTCTTGTGGAGGGACAAGAATTTCCATCTCGGGGGGAGAGAGAGAGAGAGAGAGAGAGAGAGAGAGAGATGGGGCTTGTGGCTTTTGCATTAGGGGCAGGTGGAGAGAGGCCGGGCCCCTGGCTCCTGGTCTGGTCTGCTGTGTCCCTCACCTCCGGGAGCTGGTGCCCGTAGTCTGTGAGCTCCTCGTAGTTGCTCATGTCAATGACGTCGCCATAGTTGTCCGGGTTCAGGACATAGTTCCCCACAGGCAGAGCTGCGTAAGAGTCCCCTTGCCTGGGCGTCTGCTCTTCTCTCCTCTTCCTCCCCTCCTTTGGCAGAGAAGCTGTCCCTGCCTCCCACAGCACCAGGGCCAGCAGGCCCAGGAAAGCCAGAAGTCTCATGGGGTCCTGGGGGTGGCAGGAGGAAGGGGGCAGCTCTCCAGAGTGTTGTGGGAACAGCCCACACTTTCCCCACTCCCCAACCCCCACACTGGCAGACACACACACGCTCAGTGCCTTGGCTCCTGTGCAAGCTCCCTGCAGGCTGGGACTAGGTCTAGGGGCCATCTCCTACCAGCGCCCCCCACAGTCATGCCCTCCCCCCCGCCTCAGAGTCTTTTGACATGTCACCCACACACTGACGTCACTCGCACAGCCACCCGCACACAGCCGGCAGAGGCTGGCTCACTCATCTCAACAGACACGGGAAGGTCCCCTTGTCTACACACTCTCCTACGAACCAGGCTCTCATCGTGCGTGCACACAGATGGTCTCTCTTGCACAACCACACATTCAGAATGTGACTGCTAGTCACCAAACTAGGTTTCGAGAAACTTCAACATCGGGGAAGTCTTGTGGGTTTGTTTTAAAAGATCATTCATTCATGCATTTGCTAAACCGACATGTACGGATGGGGTGTCTATAAGTCCCAGGCATTGGACTCGTCTCTGGGGGCACAGAATGGATAAGGCACAGCTCTTCCCAGGAACACCTGGTCCATTTGGGAGACACGGACTTACAAACTGACATACGACATAAAAAGGAATGTTAGTTTCTAAAATACACTCATAAACAAAGCTCCTTAGAAACAGATGGTCACAGATAGGAGAGTTCTTTGTGTGTGGTTGTGGGAGTGTGTGCACACCCAGAAAGTTGCTTAGACGGATGTCTGTGTGCACAGGTAACTGACTATGTACATATGTAATGTGCACTTGAGTGTAAATGTTCATGTGGTTCATCTACATATGTACAGACGGATCAAGAAATGCGTGTGGTGTGACGTTGAGGCAGCCAAGCACGAGCGTGTGCACCGTCACACCCAGCGTCTGTCTGGCAACGCAGCTCTCCCCAAAGCCAGCTGCACAAGTCGCCAGTAGCTCCTTCCCGTGTCTTAATTCCAGATGGGCAAAGGGGGCAAGCCCCCACAGTGGTAAGAGGTGTCTCTTCACCTAGCCTCCCACTCCCATACCTCTCTCCAAAATGACATAATTAAAAAAAAAAAATCCCTAAGGTAGAGTTTACTGTCCACCCAGAAGACTTCCAGCTCTCTGGCCAGAGGCCTAAACTCTCTTCATTCTCCCTGCCCAGCCCTCAACTCTTTCCCCTTATTTGCATCCCGATGGGCCTAAGGCCCCAAACCTTGGACCTTACCTCTTTAAGGCTTTTGGTTCCTGAATGGACCCTGGCAGCTTCCAGAGATGCACAGACTCTGGGGTTGGAATTGGGGCCTGGATTAGGCAGTGGGTGCTGGGGAGGGAGAGGCCTGTGGCCAATCAGACTGCTCATTCTCCCTGAAGGCCTGCTGTTTCCCCTCCTCCTTCCTTGGGTTGGGAGGTCCCTTTGCCCATTCCCCATTCCTGCTCTCTTCCTCCACCCCGGCCCCCCACCTCCCGCTGGCTCTCCTCTTTGTTGGCTACCTCTCTCTCTTCCTGGCCCACCCTCCAGAGAAGGCCACATCTCTGAGGCCAGGCAGTGCCCACCCCAAGGGAGGCACCCCACCCTCAGATTCTGAGCACTCAGAGAAGGCTGCAGTGGGGGTTTGTGGAGGTACAGAGTTTGCCCTTCTAGCTCTTTTCTCCAGCCAGAGAGCGATAAGGCTTGGGCTTCATAGCTAGAACCCAAAGATGAAAAGAGGCTGAAGTCAGGTACCCCAGCGAGCCCCCCAGCCCCACCCAGAGCCCCAGCACAGGGACCATCATTGAACAAAATCGCCGGAGGGAAGGTCTGAAGGCCTGGGTGGTTCAAGGAGAAGGTGAATGGAGGAGGAGGTAGCCACTTTCAAGTTCACAGACATGATCATGAGGAGGCTAAAGGAGGAGGAAAGGAAAGGGACATCCTGAGCATAAGCACTGGAAGACAGTGTGTAGGGTCCTCAGGGGGCTGGGACATGTTCCCTCCCCCACCCCTCAGACCCCCAAGTCCATGGAAGCCTGAGTGGCACAGTATTTGCATAAATCTACCCTCCAGCCTCCCGTATACTTCGAATCATCTCTAGATCCTGTACAATGCCTGATGCAATGTCTACACAGCACTCTGCTCGTGTGGATTCAACAGCACACTTGGCATGCGGCAAATTCAAGTTTTGCTTTTGGGAACTTTGTGGAATTTTTTTCCTGACTATTTTTTATCTGCGGTTGGTTGAATCAATCCATGGATGTGGAACCCACAGTTACAGAGGCCAACTGAGAGACTCCCCTTTCCCTGGTGCCTCGGCAGGTCCTCGCTGAAGGCAGGAGGCAGGGAGGCTGAGATGCCTCCCCGGATTCTGCCAGGCTGCACCCCACATCTGCCCGGGTCCTTCAGTCATGCTCCTTGCTCCCCACTCCTCCCCACTGACCAGACGCTGAATCCCAGCCTCAACGCCCCCGAAAGGTCAGCTAATCCAAACCCCCTATTGAACAGATGAAGAAACTGAGGCCCAGAGAGGCGAGGTGACATGCTCAAGGTCACACAGGGCCAGGGCCGGCGCCTAGATCTGCTGTCAGGCCAGAGGGTTTTCCTTTGTTCATGTGCCCCTCCCCCTTTCAGCCTCATCCCGAGGAGTCCGGAGCCCTCCAGGCCGCCAGAGCAGATGGCCTCGGCAGAACTCACCGCTGCCCTGGCAGGCCAGGTGAGGGGCAGACCTAAGAGCTAGGCAGAAGCGGCTGCGCCTGGCCTGCAGTCTTCCCGGGCGCCAGCTGGTGTGGGCGGGGGCTTCCCCCAGCCCCAAAGCCTGGTCACCAGAGCAAGTCATGGTCCTGTGCTCTGGCAGCCCCTGTCTGGGGAGAGACACCATCAGGGTCTCTGCTGGGTGGAAGGAGAGACAGTCCTGGAGCCTGGAGGGCGCCCAGGAGGCAGGTGGCACATTTGGCGGGCTGTGCTCCTCCCTTTCTCTCCACAGCCTGGGCTCCGTGGCCAGGTTCCTCTGTCCCTGCAGCCAGCCTGGGCATCTCCCTCTCTGACCCCACACCGCTTCTTACTGCGAAAAGTGCAAATGCCATCCCCTCGCTCTCAGTGGCTCACACAGTCCTGCCGTCCCTGCTCTGCTGCTGTGCCCCGCCCCCGCAACGGGCCATTCCCGGCATACCTGCGCCCCACACTCCTGCCCGGACACAGGCTCTTGTCCTGCACCTCTCCCAATTTCTACTCTCACTGTCCCAAGCTGGCAGGTCACACACTCTCGTCCCCACGGGTTTCAGGGAGTGTCCGTGGATGTGTACGGGTGAGCTTCGGGGAAAACGTGTCGCCAGCAGGCTGTTGTTCCAGGCAGCTCGGTTCTCCCAGAACCTGGCAAGGGCGCAGGAGGTGGGGGAGGCGTCCTAACCCTAACTGCTCATTAGGAGAGGCACAAGGCATGTTGATGGATTGGAGGTGGCAGGCAGTGGGGACAGAAGTCTGGCCAGCCAAGCCTGTTGCTGCCCTGCTCATGAACAGGGGAGAGAAAGGCACAGGGAAGTCCAGGAACCCTCCTGCTTTTTGGAGGACATGGGTATATTCCCTGCTGAGGGTTTGTAGCCACAATGCTCCATGGCCGGAACACGACCCTCTCCTCTTTTTCAGACACCCCGCTCCACAGGGTAGATTCCACACCCTCCCACCTCTTTGTGCGTGCTATTTCCCCTCCTGGTTATGTGCTTGGTTTTTTCCTTCTCCCACCTGGCAAAATGGGAATCATCTCTTAAGCGGCAGCTCACATGACAGGAGCCTTTCTGGTTTCCCCGGGCAGAGGTAGAAGCCCTCTCCCCTGTGCTGCCTGTATACAGCATTATTACAAACACTTAAGACGTTGAAGTATCAGTGCATGGATTTTTCTCCCCCTTTGCCAAGTTATGAAGTCCTCAAGGGCACGGGGTGTATATGACCAGAACTCGAATCTTAGCTGGGAACCTGGCATACGGTCAATGTCCACCGAACACGTGCTGAGTGGAAGCGGGTGTTCGCTAGGCAGGTGGGAGGGGTGAGGGCATCATCTGGCAGTCTTCATTTCAAGGAAGATGGCGCAGGCCGGGAGGATCATGGATCCCACTTCTGGAACTAATCTTCCCTCTGAAGAGAGATTCTGGGTTACCTTGCTCTAGCCCTTCTGTGAACTTCTGTGGACCATTCCAGATGATTCGGTCCTTTGTTCTCTGCCCTCAATACAGCACTTCCACTGTTTCGTGTGCACACTGCATCTCCCCAGTTAGTCTGCAAGCTTTGCTGGGTTGGGAAAGACAACTGTTTTGGGTGTTTCTATGTGTGTCTCAGTACTGAGCATCTGGGAGACCCTTGACAATTTATTATCTGTGGGTTGAAAGAACCTGGGACTTTGGGCTTCAAAGGTAGCTGTCAGATTTCTGGTCTGACGTTAGGAATAATTTCTCATGAGGGTTGTTACTTTTGGAGAAATTCTCTAAGAAAAGGCTTTGGTATAGTTTTCCTTGGAATTTCTTAAGAATAGGACACTTTCTCCACTCATCTTCTCAGAGCAAGTAAGAGGTGAAGGACGCAGAGGTGGGTGGCAAGGTGACTTTACGGTGTTATTCTTGACCTGTTCACATTGTCGAGTGCAAGCAGGGTGTTTTTCATACTACTTTATTTACTCTGCTGTGAAGCGTGTTGAGATGTGAAGGTTGTTTCACGAAGGTAACATGGTCTTCAAGAGAGAACAGATACACGTGCAGAGAACACACACACGCCTACTCACACACCTGTGCATGTAGAGGCCAACAGCACCGAGGGAATGAACTTGTGTGTGGGGGAGGGGGCTTTCTTAAACCCAAGGGAAAATGGCACATTGTGGGTGTGTTGGGGTGAGGTGCCTGGGAATCGAATTTAACTCTAATCCCCTCTGGCTTACAGCTGCAGAGAGCAATGGAGGGAGCAGACATGTTCTAGATGGGGCAATGGGATGATGGTGATTGAGTTGCTGCTAAAACAAAACA